ATCACCAAAACAGTCTCACCCGATAAATGAGTGGCGTAGGCCGCAAACAGGTTTCGCGTTGTGGAATCCTCGCGCGGCTAGACTATAGCTCGAAAAACGCCGTGAGTCTCGAGTTTTTGGTTGACTTCGGGCATCTGATTTCGTTGAAAGCCTAGAGTTCGCCACAATTTAGGTGGAAACCGTCAGGGGCGAGGACAGGCGCGACGTGGGCGACGAAGGTCTCAGCGATACCGACGACGTTCGAGATCATCAACTTGGAAATTCGTTGATGTAAGAAGTACAGAGCTACTCGGAAGCACAGGAGCTACATGTCCCGAGGTTATTGGGAGCCACTCCATACCTCCAAAACACAGAACCAGAGAGCGGGTTNATTGGAAATTCGCTGATGATGTAATACAGAGCTACTCGGAAGCACAGGAGCTACATATCCCGAGGTTATTGGGAGCCACTCCATACCTCCAAAACACAGAACCCGTAAGCGGGTTCGTATCACGACAAACCGTAAATTGATTCAAGGACGGTTTCTGCAGAAGAAAGTATAGGTTTTCCCTTCAACTTGTCGTCGACTCTGAGTACCCGGAGGTGACTAAAGCGCACTGTTCAACTCGCCTAAATTTCACCCCCCCCACCGGTGTGGCCTTTATCTTCCCTGGCGTGTTTCTTCAACTGCGCCGTATGAGTTGGTTTCGCGTTGTGGAATCCTCGCGCGGACTATAGCTCGAAGGGCGCCGTGAGTCTCGAGTTCTTTGGTTGGGTTCGGGAATCTGATTTCGTTGAAAGCCTAGAGTTCGCCACAATTTAGGTGGAAACCGTCAGGGGCGAGGACAGGCGCGACGTGGGCGACGAAGGTCTCAGCGATACCGACGACGTTCGAGATCATCAACTTGGAAATTCGTTGATGTAAGAAGTACAGAGCTACTCGGAAGCACAGGAGCTACATGTCCCGAGGTTATTGGGAGCCACTCCATACCTCCAAAACACAGAACCAGAGAGCGGGTTCGTATCACGACAAACCGTAAATGATTCAAGGACGGTTTCTGCCGAAGAAAGTATAGGTTTTCCCTTCAACTTGTCGTCGACTCTGAGTACCCGGAGGTGACTAAAGCGCACTGTTCAGCTCGCCTAAATTTCACCTCCACAGCCGTCAGGGCAGAATTGGGGATCGAATCCCAACGGTCGGGAAGAGACGCGAGGAAGCTGACATGGCAGTTTCGCATGTGCGGGATGGGAGAGGAGAGGTTGCCGAGAATTGTATGGGAAGCGAAGTGAGCAAACAAAAAGAGGGGTAGACAACCCACGGGATGGGTCAAGGTTGTAGAGGGCGTATGGAAGGGGCTCGACATCGACTAAGATGAAACGCTGGAAACGGAGGGTCTGAAGGGTTTCAAGAAGATATCTGTTGCTTGTGCCGAGAGAGAACAGAATCTCAGGAAAGAAACCAAGGATAAGGAGGGTCTAGAAATGTACGGAATGTTGAAGGAAGGGATAGGGTTCAAGGATTACCTACGTGGACCAATGGATGCAGGAACAAAGCTTGAGGTCAAATTCAGGACCGGGGACATCGGCCTTGGAGAACGTCGACGAAGACATAGGACTGTAGATGACGAAGACGAAGAGTTCAAATGTGATTGCGGGTTCGAATGCGAAGACCGTGTTCATGTAGTCGCGGAATGTCGTGGTACAAGGAGAGGGAGTGTAGGTGACTGAGCTGGGAAAAATAGATGGGACGTACAAGGAAATGTGTGAGGCATGGAATGGAGGGAAAAAGACGGTAGCTGTACTGGGGCATCGGAGGTGGGTTGAAAAGCCGGGAAGGAATTTCGTTAGGATAGGCAGACTAGGGAAGACATTTTTTAGCCACCTTTGGCGAAGTAGAAAGGAACGATTGGCCATCCGTGATCGGTCCTGTGGGAACAATGCTTCGTCCTCTCGAGGACGCGTGGTCAATGTTCTAACCGCTAAGGCATGTAAAGCATAGGAGTATGCCCCCCCCCCACCGGAGTGGCCTTTATCCTACGTGGTGGGTGGCAGGGCAGCAGAGACTTCGATTTGTGTCCCCCTTCGGTTCACATCCGAGGAAGTCATTACTGTAACAACGTTTCGAAGCGATAGACTTCACCAGAGTTTTCGTACAACCTGGAGGACGTCCAGAACGTCGACAACAGGCGTCGATGCTGTCCCACTAAATGCAGCTGTTGGGAGGCGGTTAGTTTGCTGTCAACAGCAGAGGGACGAAAACGTTGACGCCAAGACCTCCAAATATTGTTTGAGAGAGCAGAGCACGCTTGACGGTGCACACAGAAGGAGGGTTTCCCCTCTTCAGACACACACCACCAAAGATACCCCGCTCGGTACTGGATATGATTTAAGCGTTCACTGATTACCTGGTATCGGTGCTTCACTGTTGCAACTACACTACATCACAACGTTGCCCGCTGACGTTCTGCGATTCAGTTGCCGTTACCCATGCATACAATACACCACAGTCACGAAAGCGCCACAGCGCCCACCAGTTCTTGTTGTGATCGGCGTCGCATGCCTTGACAGCAGTAGCAGAAGGCAACCAGGCCTGATTCTAGCGATTCCTGTTGACTGAATCTTCGTAGCGTTCTGTCTCATCAAAATCGCAGATATTTTTAGCGGATTCCTTCGTGGCGACTGGGGAACCGAGCACAGGTGTTGAAAGGAAAATATGGTCCCTGCCCAACAGATACCGTCAACAGCATGTTATCCCCGCACCCGCAACTTCACCACCCACGTTGACATCCAACCGTGATCAGTAGTATATTTGGGGTCATCCACGTCATCAACTGAAACGATGAGGACCCTTGGAAGCACTCCAACTGGCCATGGTGCCACTACAGCTATTCCCTCATTCGACCGCGCTCCAGATACCTCTCGAAGAAAAACACTAGTCTACTTGAGCTTCGTAAACAACACGACTCCAGTTAACCTTGCGCCTTTCTTTGCGTAGTCAACCATCTAGGTCTGGACGACAGACCTGTATAGTCGAAGGAATCTCGACCCCTTCTAAGTTCGATCTTGCCAACACGGTCAGGTGACGGAGGCCCTTCGGCCATTCGATTCCACGCAGTAGGCCATCGCTACCAACACCGTAGTCGAGAAGACGAAATACTTGAAGGTGGGGCATCCAAATGCCCAGTCCTTGCAGTGACTGCCTGAACCTGTGACCTAGTGTGAGTCGTCGCAACGATGCCGGCCAAACGCTAGTACCGACACTTTGATTAAATCGTGAGTACATCACTACTACATTGCACCCCAAATCGTGGAACCTTCCAAACGTAAGCTCTTGCAAAGACGACGGCCACCTCACGGCGTCAACTGTCTGGTTGAAACTCCCTCCGAAGGTTAGCCTCTGAAGTGAATCTGGCCATAGAACGCTCTCAATGGGCTGGTTGAATCCGTCCCCAAAAGAGAGCTGCTGCAGGGACCCCGGAAACCTAGCCTGTTTGATTGAACGGTCGAAGGCGTCGCCAAATTTGAGCTGCTGCAACGATGTTGGCCACGCCACACGGTTAAGACGTTGGTTGAACCGCGCTTCACCGTCAAAGATGAGAGTCTTCAGCGACAACGGCCAAACAACGCCCTCGATCGGTTGGTTGAAGTGTTTTCCGACGAAGAGCCCCCGCAGGGACGGCGGCCACACGACGCCTTCGACGGGAAGGTTGAAATTTGCCCCGAAGGCAAGCTGTTGCAGCGACATCGGCAAAATCGCTCCAGCTATCGGTTGGTTGAAACGCGACCGAGGATCGAAACTGAGCTTCTGAAGCGATCTCGGAAATATGGCCCGCCCGATCGGCTGATTGAAATTTTCTCCGAATATTATCTCCTCCAGGGTCGACGGCCACGCAACGCCTTCTATGGGCTGGTTGAATTCTGCACCCAGGGCGAGCTGCTCCAGTGAAGTCGGCAGGAGGACCCCAGCAATCGGTTGGTTGAAGCACGAATACCTGTGGAATCTGAGCTTCTGCAGCGATTCCGGAAACTTGGTCCGCCCGATCGGCTGATTGAAGGTTTTTCCAAGAATGAGCTCCTGCAGGGACGACGGCCACGCGACACCGTCTAAAGCATGGTTGAAGCTTGCCCCCAAGGCAAGTTGCTGCAGCGACGTCGGCAGAATGACGCCATCCACCGGTTGATTAAAACACGAATATTGGTCAAATCTTAGCTTCTGCAGCGATGCCGGAAACTTGGCCCGTCTGATGGGCTGATTGAAGTATTTCCCGAAGATAAGCTCCTGCAGAAACGGTGGCCACGCGACATCTTCAATCGGATGGTTGAAGCTTGCCCCCAAGGCAAGCTTCTGCAGAGAAGTCGGCAGAGTGACGCCAGCAATCGGCTGGTTGAAACATGAAAAAAATGCGAATATGATCTGCCTCAATGATGCCGGAAACTCGACATGTTCAATCGGTTGGTTGAAACTGTTTCCAAAAGCAAGCCTCTTCAGCGATGCCGGCCATTTGACAAGGTCGATAGGTGTGTTGAATGGTGAAAAATTGTGAAAAGCGATCGATTCCAGCCGCCGTGGCCATGTCACAGCCTCAAGGCTTCCTTCGAAGGCACTGCCGAAGTCCAGGTGGTCCAAGTCCATCAGCGCAAAGATCGGGCTCCTCAATTCCGCTGCTGTAGGCATGTTCCACGTCACATGACGTGCTCTCAACCGTGGCACGCGCCTTCGAGATAGCCGTTTCGGGTGCTGAGGTGGGCCATCCGCGGCGGCCAGTAGCATACGTGGGATTCGGACGTCGACAATCAAATGCAGCGTCTGATAGGCTCTGCACGCCATGCAGAACTCCAAGGACGCTAGTTGCAGCTCCTTCGTCGATGTGTACCAACTCTTGCCGTCGCGCGTCTCGCCCAAGGCGACGTAGATGGCGTTCAAGCATGTGTTACTAGTGGGTCCTGGAGAACAATAAACGATGAGCGGGCAGAACGTCACAAAAATTGACGAGTTCACAACCTTGCGGTCTGGAGGGTTCAACCGTAACTGTTCCAAGGCCACGACCCACTACATCAAATTTCCAACACTCGACACATTCAAATCATCATCTAGCATGAGTTAGTCAAGGCATCGACATTGTGGTCCACGCTGTTCGATGCAGAACCCTATTAACAGTGGACCAATCATACCCGTACATGTAGTTATCATGCGGATACATCAGTGAGAGGGGCGCCATGATCGAGCTTGGGCGCGAACCATGAAAATGGAAATCGTAAAACATTTTTTTTTTCAGATGTTTTGTCTTCACTTCAAATCAGCGCTCACGGCACTACTGCCGTTTACTCCAACCCGTGGTCACAACGAAGAGCCCCTCTCTGCCCTCCCCTCCTGCGATACTTTGCCTGCGATTTTTAATGCGAGAAGAGTTCAGCACTCTCTTCCCTCTGTGTACACACGAACTAGCGCTATCCACGAGGCCAGGAACGGAAGCGAGAGAAAAACTCACTTTGCAAGGAAAGCACGCTTACGCCGGGATTCGAACCACTGACCTTCCCTCTAGAAGGTTTCGAGGTTACCAACTAGACCACCAGGGGGACCGGATTTGGATACGAACGAGCCCCCTAAATAGGATTTCGACTTGTGGGGTGACGTAGGTGAACTACCCGACTCTTCAGGGACAACAATAGCTCGACACAGAAACTGCAAGTGGGAGATAGACCATATCCATTAGGAACAAGCCGTGAGAGGAGACTGTTCACCTCCGAGAAACCGCGTTCATGCATCCATGATCACTCACTGCTGCTGGAGCAAAGCACACTACACGAAGCGAGAATCACGAGGAAGAACGTAATACCTCGCGAGGAAGAATGTGTTGCCTTGAAGAAAAACAACCTCAGTTTCGAAACCCCTCGGATGTGAGCGGTGAAACCGGTCTTCAAAGGAGCATCGCTTTCGTGGGGGCGAACCTCCATCACGGTAAGGATTGTCCTGTAACAACATGTCTCAGTTTTTGCGACACAAATCTTCTGCCGTCTAGTCCAGCAATGTCCGCCATCTAGAAAAACTACGGTCAAGGGTAAGAAATTTGCTGCCAGTGGACTAACTCGACCGCTCGTGTGTAGAGATCATTTTGATTTGGTGAAGAACTGCAATGGTCACCCGAGGGCCAGAAACCAAGAAATATTTTCGAATCGACACATCTCGCTATCGTTTTGAACCGGACCAAACCAGCCCGAGCTCAGGTATCTTCCTCGCATCGCCGCTCGCCACTGCTGAACACCTTTCAATTCGAAGAATCGTCAATGTGCCTGTGTTGTAAAAGATAGCGCTAATTTCTGGTTTGTCGCAACCTGGGATCGAGGTAGACATGAACCCTGCTCCCGACTTCCGAATGCGGCGATCTCCGCCGAAAGCGTTTCAAACTTATGCCTTCCTCATTATCGTCCCAAGAGGATGCTTGGTCACCATAAAAGTCAGTCGTTCTCGCACCTCTCGCGCGTGTCCGAACTAGGAAACCGACGTTATCTGACAAAGTAATCCCACGGTTTCGATGCCTTCCAAAACTGCCTCAGGTTAAACATCGCTGCCCCGGGATAGGTGTGGACAGGGTCCTTCATCTTTCATGTACCACAACACCCCACGTTGACGGTCAAAGAGCTGTTAGCT